TTCAAAAAAGGAAGGGTTCACAATCAGATAGGTATTACCAATTCCAGGCTATGTGAATTATATCAAAAAACATAAAAGGGTAAACCCTTCCCAAGCCATTTTGTAAAGTCAGCATTACCCTAATATCAAGGTCTGACCAAGATAACAACCAAAAATAATTATTTATATATTTATGCCAATTTATACATGAATAAAGGTACAAAAATTCCAAATACAATACTAGCTAATCAAACTCAACCACATATTTTAAAAAGCTATTTTAATTTTTTTATAAACCTATGCTATGATACTTTTCAAAAAGGACAAAAAAAAGAGCAGTTCAATATACATGAAAATGGCATTTAGTAATATTTAAAACCTAATGCTGGCTTTAAAAATTTCTTGGTAGCCATGGCCTGTGTGGTTGGGTGTGGTCCTGTGCACCAAAAGCTTCCTGGTTCGATTCCTGGTCAAGACACATGCCTCGGTTGCAGGCTCCATCCCTGGTAGATGTTCCTCTTTCTCTCTCTTTCTCCCTTGCTTTCTCTCTAAAAATCACTTAAAAATGTTTCTTTATTGTTGACAGTATTACAGATGTCTCCTAACCTACCCCCGCCTTTTACCTTCCTCCTCCAGGTCCTGCCACACCCCAGGCCTGCACCATTGGTTATGCATATATGTATGTAAATTCTGTGTACATAGGCTATGCATATCTTTAATAATAAAAGCGTAATATGCTAATTAGACAGGATGGCTGAACAGCAGAACGATAGTCTGGGTGACCTTCTGGACAAAGCGGGGGCTGCGAGGGCCTAGGCCAGTGGTCGGCAAACTCATTAGTCAACAGAGCCAAATATCAACAGTACAACGACTGAAATTTCTTTTGAGAGCCAAATTTTTTAAACTTAAACTATATAGGTAGGTACATTGTTATTAACTTAATTAGGGTACTCCTAAGGCTTAGGAAGAGCCGCACTCAAGGGGCCAAAGAGCCGCATGTGGCTCGCGAGCCGCAGTTTGCCAACCACGGGCCTAGGCAGTCACCGTGGCTGCCAGGGCTGAGCCCCTTGCACAAATTTCATGCATTGGGCCTCTAGTATGCATATAAATACTTTGCTTAATCTCTTCCCATCCCACCCTTCTCCCGAGATATGTCAGTCAGTTTATTCCATGCCTCCATACCTCTGGATCTATTTTGTTCATCAGTTTATTATGTTCATTAGATTCCACCTCTAAGTGAGATCATCTGATATTTGTCTTTCTCTGGCTGGCTTATTTCACTCAGCATGGTATTCTCCAGGTCCATCCATGCTGTTGCAAAGGGTAAGACAGCCTTCTTTTTTACAGCTGCATAGTATTCCATTGTGTAATGTACCACAACTTTTTTATCCACTCATCTACTGATGGGCACTTGGGCTGTTTCCAGATCATAGCTATTGTAAATAGTATTGCTATGAATGTAGGGGTGCATAAATTATTTCTGATTGGTGTTTCGGGATTCTTAGGATATATTCCTAGAAGTGAGATCGCTGGGTGAAACAGTAGTTTCATTTTTCATTCTTTGAGTAAATTCCATACTGTTTTCCATAATGGCTGTACCAATGTGCATTCCCATCAGCAGTGTACTAATGTTCCCTTTTCTCCACATCCTCACCAGCACTTGTTTGTTGACTTATTGATGGTAGCCATTCTGGCAGCTGTGCAGTTTTAATTTGCACCTCATTGATGATTAGTAATGTTGAACATTTTTTCATATGTCTATTGGCCAACTGTATGTCCTCTTTGGAGAAATACCAATTTAGGTCCTGTGTATATTTTTTAATTGGGTTATTTATCTTCCTTTTGTTGAACTGTATGAGTTCTTTATATATTTTGGATATTAACCCCTTTTCAAATGTCATTGGCATATATGTTCTCCCATACTGTGGTGGGTTCTCTTTACATTTTGATAGTTTTGCTTGCTGTATCGAAGCGTTTCAGTTTGATGTATCTCTGTTTGTTTAGTTTTTGCTTCTCTTGCCCTCGGAGACGTACAGCTGAAAATTCTGCTATGTGAAATGTCTGAGATTTCACTGCCTAAGTTTTCTTCTAGGATTTTTATGGCTTGCAACTTACATTTAATTCTTTTATCCATTTGGAGTTTATTCTTGGGCATCGTGTAAGTTGATGATCTAGTTTCATTTTTTTAATGTACCTGTCCCATTTTCCCAACACCATTTGTTGAAGAGACTATCTTTACTCCCTTTTATTCTCTTGCCTCCTTTGTACTATATATTCACCTTGAAGGCTTATAATTTGAGAGCTATTTAGAAAACAACTGTTAGGATTTGATCCAAGGTATACATTTTTTTCATGAGGATTGGGCAGACAGGGTTTAACAGAATTAAGCTTGACTTTCAAAGTAAATTTGGAAAAGAACAAAGGTAATGACCTTCATACTGAAACAAGTCAATTCACATACCATCAAGATATCTTCATTTACCCAGCTTGTCCAGGACTAAGCTTTTGAAGATCTGAAACATTCTGTAGGAAACAGCAATTGTCTTTATTATTTATGAAAATGGTCAGAATTAAGGTATGTTAACCTACAGACGAAGGGTACAGTTACCTAAACCCTCTTACTATACCCAAGGACAAAACTAACAATAACCTAGTTTTAGGCACGTTTGACTAGAAAACAGGGAAGCTCATTCTTGGTAGTGTGAATATTGTTTAATAAAAGCAGAATTACTCGAGTCAAGTCATGCCATTCCAGTCCTCATTTAACAGTCAGCATCAAGCCACTTCCTTCCTCATCCCTAATCAGAGCTATGGCTGATGGAGTACTAAACCAAGACCATCAAAAAACAAGGTGTAATTTGCCTTGTTCTTATAGGAAGTCATTAGCGCAATCATTTGATGAATTTAATTAACTAAACAAAATTCTCAGTGGGAAAGGAAGAGGTCCTTATCAAAGGACCACTCTCTAACCCTTCCACTCTCTAACTTCTCACCATGAAAAATTTTCATCACTTGTTTGAAGGGCATTAAAAAAAAAAAAAGTCCTCCTTTTAAGGTATAGAAGATAAAACTCAACTGTAATTGCATTTGCAAAGTTAAAGCTACACTTCAACCAAACAGTATTCCTGAGAATTGCTAATCTAAAAGATAACTTTAAAAGGGGAGGAAAGGAATAACAATGCCTATCAACAGTGGATAAATTCTATATTCATACTATGAAAGGCTCCTTAATAATAAGAGACTATGCATATACTCAACAAATATCAAATAATTGAATGTCAGTCACAAAAGAGTACATACATATGATTTTATTTATGTGAATTTATAGAACAAGCAACACTATCTGTGGTGATACAAATCAGAACAATAGTTATGTGGGGAGGGATTAACTAGAGAGGGCATGAGATAATTTTCTGGAGTAATGGAAGTTTTGTATCTTTATTGGGATTGTGGTCACCAAACCTCAAATGATACATCTAAAATCTGTGCATTTTATTGAATGAAAATTATAACTCAGTTTTTAAAAAGTACTGTTTATCTAACTAGATCCTAAAGTTAAGTATAATGTACTACCTTAGAAAGAATCTAATGAATCTTACTATTATTAAAAACCAACACAAACAGACAAAAAATGGTTGCCAGAGGGGAATGGAGGTGGGATGAGGGCAAAGTGGTTAAAGGAGGTCTAATATATGGTAACAGAAGGAAATTAGACTTCCGATGGTGAGCACGTAATATAGTGCACAGATGTCAAATGATACTCTTGTACACCTGGAAATTATATAATATTATTAACCAAGGTTATCCCAATAAATTAAAAACAAAAAACCAACAGAGGCAATTCAGAAAGCAGATATGAAACTTTAATTCACTGTGGGCATTTCTTTAGCCATTCTCTATATTATATATTTTTCTTATGTCTTCACAAGATACATCTTTTATAAGACAGTTTTTCTACCAAATACTGTGTACCATATCACTATTCCATTTAACTAGTTGAGAGTGTATTATAAATATTATGAGCCATTGATTAAATATACAGAAGTCGATACATGTTAGAAAGTTTAAATAATAAAAAAAAGCTTAAGAAAGGCTAACTACAAGGTAAGGTTACATCTTCTATACTCTACATATAACATCACATGACAACCAATTACAATAAAATCACAACTGCTTTCAGATGATAGTACATTCAGATTTCTAACATCCAATTATTTTCATTTCAACCATCTGAATTCCACACTGCACTTTTATGCTTTTGGACTGCAGACAAGACTCTTGTGTAATAATTTTATTATGTTGCCTGGCCAGGTGGCTCAGTTGGTTGGAGCATTGTCCCAAGCACCGAAAGGTTGTGGGCTGGATTCCCAGTCAGGGCACATACCTAGGTTGCGGGTTGGATCCCTGGTTGGGGCACGTACAGGAGGCAACTGATCGATGTTTCTCTCTCCCTTCCTCGTTCTCTAAAATCAATCAACATATCCTTGGGTAAGGATTTAAAAAAAAAATTACTTTGTTGATCATGACCACAGTAAACTAAATTTATATACACTATACTATATAGAAATGCGACTTTATTTAAAGTATATAATAATATGGAACTCTTCAAGAGAAATTCAAATAGTAGACTGAGAATGGGTTTTAATTGCTACTGCAGTCTATATATATTTCGTTAAAAGAATAAGTCTCTGTCAAAACAGTTAGAAATAAATATATCGTACAGCCTTTTCTTCTTCGAAAATGCTGCCTGGAAAAAAAGTTCCAAGCTGATGAAAGAAAAAAAAAAACTACAAACAAAAAACAAGGGGAAAAAGACTTCAGAAAACGAACACTACATGGTGTCTGGGCTGAGATCTTCCTGAATCTATTTTTCGACTGGAACAAGTTTTGCAGTCAGATCTACATTGCTCGAGTGTCCACAGTCCACGCGGAGTCCTTGAACATCTAGTTCACATTTTACAGAAAGCTGAAAGGACTCCTAAACACCCCTCAACTAATGACACAAGGGAAAGCTGATCATGTTTTGTATTAAAGTCTATATGAATACCAAACATAGTCATAGCCACTCTTAACAGTGTTGCTAGAATAAGTAAAGAAAATGTATGTACAGCTGTACACAGGTCACCAGGAAACACAGGAACAACTGCCATTTGCTGTGTATCAAATAAGCTCCCAGAAGCTAATTTGCAATGTTTATTTTCATTTACTTTGATACAGCATTAGAAGGGACTGGATTTAAGTACGAGGACTGCTGCAGGTAACACTTGATGCTAAGTGTTCTATTAAGCATCAGGCATGCAAAATAATTACCTTTTAAAATTTCTCATTTATATATCGCAACACTCCTACTTATAAGCTACAATATGTTTAAAGCATTTAGTAATTTTTAAACCAAATATTTTAATTGACCTACGCCTAAGTAGGGAAAGACAAAAACTTTCCTCCTGTCTCAACTTACTCCCCAAATTGGTATTTAAACTTATTTTATGTCATCCTTAAAATTCCAAGTGATGAAAATCCTTATCACTATGAAATTAGAAGTGTGATTTACCAGCAGCGCTCTATCACCCAGACACTTACAGCATGCCAAGCCTTTGGGAATTACACGATATAAGTGACATGCTGGCTATACGTGACAACAGTTGAACATATTAGTCTCTTCTTTTTTTCCTGGATCTTTTATTTCCAACTAAGTAAAGCTTTTCATTAATACAAACTAAAAGAATTATTTTTTTCTTTATTTACCAATATAAGAGTAGATAAAACTAAAAACCTTTGTTGTCTTCAAGTGTGTGGCAAAATAGAATGTTTCAATAACATTAGGTAATTAGGTAGGGAAGTGATTAGTTTGTTTTCCCATTTCAAAAGCATTCCAAATAATCACAAACACAATTTCAGATTGCTTGGTTCTCGGTCATTTATGGCTTAAAATACTGCATTTGGAAACCACCTCAGGATAAAGTAAGTTTATACGAATGCATAGATTGTGTATCTAGGAAATCATGCAATAAATAAATGTTCTCATGTACACCATATTCTTAGTGACAAAAGGAGCCTGCAGATGTGAACAGTGCGGTTTCTTTTACCAAGAAAATGCGCCCAGCAAGATCCTGGCTTTTGACGTATTTAAGATCCTACTTGCAGGTCATCCTAATTTTCTGACCGATACAAGAAGCCAATGTCACAAGGAATCTGCAATAAGAAACTGACTTGCCTCAACTGCAGGAACTGTGAGGTCTGAGCCAGGCAGAACGACACTCACATTATCCTGCCACCCTACTGCCAAGGCCGTTGGAGTTCTTGACTAGCTAAAGGATCAAATGGGTAAATGCTTAGAATGACCCACTAGAAATGTTTATTACTTTAGTATCTTTTTAAAATCTATTTGTCCTTTACATCTATTTCATTTGAAAATTGCCAGGGTAAGATCTCACTATTCCTGGTTTTGATATGCCCCCACCACATGAGAATTGAACTGAACTACAATGATTGTAATGTCATCTCTGTACATCCGAGCGAGCTCTTCAGGAAGACTCAGCATTTTGGAGAGACGCTCATGATCCACAGTCCCAAACTCGTTGTTGCCCACCGCATGGCGGATAAGGTGGGTTGCTGCATTCTGATCCTCAAATACCGAGGACATCTTGGCTCTCCTTTCTGTTAACAGGCCATGCATCTGTCCCAGAGTCACCTTGTAGCCACCAACAGCTATTGGCTGTTGGTGGTGCATGCCAGTTAGGTACTCGCCCACAATCCTAACCACATCCTGCCTATGCATGGTCTCCCACAACCCGTCAGTAGCCAGTATCAGAAACTTATCCTGTGGCCTTAATCGGTGGTAGATTACCTCTGGCTCAGCAGTGAGATAAGGAGGTGTATAATAATTAGGAGGGATGAACTTGGTATATTCGTTGTCATTCAACTGGTCTGGGCCAGATTCTATCACTCTCTTTTGAAGGTCAATGCTCCATTTGAACTTTACATCTCCAAAAGCCCTAAAGGGCATCAGCAAGCCAAGTAGCCGATCCTGTTTCACCACACTCTTGGCCTCATTCTTTGGATGTTCCAATTTTAGCCTCTCCAGTTCACTTTCATTCTGAGCATTGTGGTCATTAGAGAGAGTGACTGCTGACCAAGAGCCGTCCTCTTCCTGCACACCCAGCATGGCTCTGCTATCACCAGTATTGGCCACATGAAGGTTGACACCATCTACATGGGCCACACAAGCAGTAGCCCCAGAAAATGCCACTCGAAGCACCAGGTAGTTGAGGAAGGAATTGGGATCACCAACTTGGGCCTCCAAGGAGATGTCATTATCAAGTCTCTTGAAAGCATTAATTAAAGCTTCCTTAACATCAATATCATCTGACTCCCCAGTGTTGAGGTCTATAAGTTCTTGCCAGTAAGTCCTCAAGCTGTTGAAGTACAATTTGGATGCCTCCTTACTGAAGTAATCGTTGGGATGCTTGTGCCATTGGAGAATGGGTAGCAGTGCCCGGCCACTCTCCACTGCATTTTCAATCTCTAGCAAAGTCTCGTGGGGTAACAGAGAGACAGCAATGTAATAAAAGAGTCTTTCACTGACTGCTTGGGAACAAGCACAGCCTGCATGGCCATCAAAAACCCCCAAAAGCATCCCTCTGGTCTGCAAGCAGGTTGCTGCACTTCTCCGATCCTCAATGGGTGCATTTGCAGGTAGCTGATTGCTGTCAAATCCAAGGACAGAACTGACATTTTTGCCATCAAATTCTGGCACTTTGAAACTGTATTCATTAGCTTTCAGGATGCTGTTGACTTGTGGAGGTGTGAGGTAAAATTTCTGTGGTGTGGAAGCGTATCTCCTTCCTTGGGTGTACTGCCACCAGTTCTCCTTTGACCTGCAAAAGGTAGCATACGCCGGGTGGGGTGTATACCTCAGGTGGCTCTGAGGAATGTAAGAAGATGAGCAGCAGAGGTGTCTGTGGTGGCAGTAACATGCAGTGCCATAGATTCTGCTCAGTTCACAGTTACGAATCAGAGGGAAAAACAGTTGAGTTGGTGCTGGCATGGCATCAGAGAACAGTGGCAGGCTGGAACTTCTGACGGGGATTCCTACAACACAAATCACACAGGTACACACAAAGAAAAAGTTACACTTCAGATGACTTAGTCGATCTTTGCTAGGAGACACTGTATTCTATACCCACATCATGTACTATTTCTACAGGGCATATTCCGCTGAGCACAATTCCCAGTCATTTATGGAGCCAGGATTGAACGTCCGGCTTTACTTTTCTCTTTTCATCGTATTTCTTTGTGTAGCACAAACTGTGCACAACGTATAATAGCTTTAGCTGGGGAGAGCAGCTCTTCAGGAAGACTCAGCATTTTGGAGAGATGCTCATGATCAACAGTCCCAAACTCATTGTTTCCCACAGCATGGCGAAAAAGAAGGGTTGCTGCATTCTGATCCTTAAACACTGAGAACATCTTGGCTCTCCTTTCTGTTAACAGGCCATGCATCTGTCCCAGAGTCACCTTGTAGCCACCAACAGCTATTGGCTGTTGGTGGTGCATGCCAGTTAGGTACTCGCCCACAATCCTAACCACATCCTGCCTATGCATGGTCTCCCACAACCCGTCAGTAGCCAGTATCAGAAACTTATCCTGTGGCCTTAATCGGTGGTAGATTACCTCTGGCTCAGCAGTGAGATAAGGAGGTGTATAATAATTAGGAGGGATGAACTTGGTATATTCGTTGTCATTCAACTGGTCTGGGCCAGATTCTATCACTCTCTTTTGAAGGTCAATGCTCCATTTGAACTTTACATCTCCAAAAGCCCTAAAGGGCATCAGCAAGCCAAGTAGCCGATCCTGTTTCACCACACTCTTGGCCTCATTCTTTGGATGTTCCAATTTTAGCCTCTCCAGTTCACTTTCATTCTGAGCATTGTGGTCGTTAGGGAGAGTGACTGCTGACCAAGAGCCGTCCTCTTCCTGCACACCCAGCATGGCTCTGCTATCACCAGTATTGGCCACATGAAGGTTGACACCATCTACATGGGCCACACAAGCAGTAGCCCCAGAAAATGCCACTCGAAGCACCAGGTAGTTGAGGAAGGAATTGGGATCACCAACTTGGGCCTCCAAGGAGATGTCATTATCAAGTCTCTTGAAAGCATTAATTAAAGCTTCCTTAACATCAATATCATCTGACTCCCCAGTGTTGAGGTCTATAAGTTCTTGCCAGTAAGTCCTCAAGCTGTTGAAGTACAATTTGGATGCCTCCTTACTGAAGTAATCGTTGGGATGTTTGTGCCATTGGAGAATGGGTAGCAGTGCCCGGCCACTCTCCACTGCATTTTCAATCTCTAGCAAAGTCTCGTGGGGTAACAGAGAGACAGCAATGTAATAAAAGAGTCTTTCACTGACTGCTTGGGAACAAGCACAGCCTGCATGGCCATCAAAAACCCCCAAAAGCATCCCTCTGGTCTGCAAGCAGGTTGCTGCACTTCTCCGATCCTCAATGGGTGCATTTGCAGGTAGCTGATTGCTGTCAAATCCAAGGACAGAACTGACATTTTTGCCATCAAATTCTGGCACTTTGAAACTGTATTCATTAGCTTTCAGGATGCTGTTGACTTGTGGAGGTGTGAGGTAAAATTTCTGTGGTGTGGAAGCGTATCTCCTTCCTTGGGTGTACTGCCACCAGTTCTCCTTTGACCTGCAAAAGGTAGCATACGCCGGGTGGGGTGTATACCTCAGGTGGCTCTGAGGAATGTAAGAAGATGAGCAGCAGAGATGTCTGTGGTGGCAGTAACATGCAGTGCCATAGATTCTGCTCAGTTCACAGTTACGAATCAGAGGGAAAAACAGTTGAGTTGGTGCTGGCATGGCATCAGAGAACAGTGGCAGGCTGGAACTTCTGACGGGGATTCCTACAACACAAATCACACAGGTACACAAAGAAAAAGTTACACTTCAGATGACTTAGTCGATCTTTGCTCTGAGACGCTGTATTCTATACCTACATCATGTACTATTTCTACAGGGCATATTCCGCTGAGCACAATTCCCAGTCATTTATGGAGCCAGGATTGAACGTCCGGCTTTACTTTTCTCTTTTCATCGTATTTCTTTGTGTAGCACAAACTGTGCACAACGTATAATAGCTTTAGCTGGGGAGAGCTGAGGAGATGAGTGTTATATAACATTATGCAGTGGAAGTCTATCCGACCAATCACCCTTCTCCCTCTCTACCTTTAAAAAAGGCTTTGGATCTTCCATATTGCTCAGGGACTTACCCCATTTATGAACATCCTATTTCTAGAGCTGTGGTTAATTGTCAGCATTTGATTATACGTGGCTATCACCAAAAAAGTGTTAGGATGCATCCCCAACATAAGTGTATTCATAAACTACTTTTAAGTTACACATATATACTACTGTATTAATATAATGTTCGTGATAACATATACAAAAAATTTACATAGCGAATAAAGAGGAATGCCAATATTCCCTTCCTACACCCCAGTGAGTGGTCTGGCAAACGATGCTTTCTAGACCACTGCACCATTTGGTGAGTTTAGGGATACAGGTCTTCCACCAACTTGCCAAATTAATCCTGTAAAAGCTGGCTCACCTCTTTGGGCCTCACTTTCCTAAGATGTAATGGAACACATGGGAACAGAGATTACCTAAGGCCTCTTCTAGGAATCTATGTCTTTATAACTGTTTGCTGAAGTGGGGCTTTGAAATCAAATGCAGGTTTCATTCATTCATTAATTTTACTCTGTCCTTCATAAAAAAAGTTCAAGTATTTTAGTAGCTCCAAAACTGTTAGTAACATAAACAGTCTCAGTTCTGGAATTTAATATACTTGGTAGCACTTTCTTCGGTTTATCAGCCATAAGGGAAAGCTAGAGAAATTTTATTTTCATCAATTACGGATCCCAAGTAGAATTCACCACTAGAAAAATATTTTCTCTTATGTTAAAAGACAAAAGTATGTATTTGTCTTTGGGAAGCAATAAAGAATAGTAGAATAATACCCAAATAGTCTAGGTTTAGATTAAAAAAAAAAAAAGGTACAGAATTATAATCTAAATCATATCACTCAGTATATGACTGAGATTTTGTTGGGCATTTATCTAGAAAATTTAATGAATGTTCACCAGTAACCCAGTAACTTATGCAAGAAAAAAATCTTTATTCTTCCTCAATAATATTTCCCCTAAATTCTTAAGGTATTGCCTCAAAGTATTCATTTGGCCTATAAAGAAATGGGCTTTACAAATACTTTATATAAGGAAATAAATACAGTAACCAAAAAGAAATAAGGAAAATAAAATCAACTGAATCTTTTATCAGCTACTCCTTCTGAAAGTTAAACCGATTAAGGAACAAAATATTTACAGACATCAGAGTGTTAGCTATATAGTACATTATTTTTGAGTACTTTCTTTTGAAGAGTAATTAGAGAAAAAGTGATAAGTGGGGGAGCAGAGAAAACCAAACACTGAATAGCGGATCTTTGTCTGCTTCTGTAATAAACATGGCATCAGCCAGTCGTACAGAACCCGCTTTGCAAGTGATAGAAAGTACCATTTTAACTGCACTATTTAAGAAGGGACTTGTTTATAAAATTGAAGGCAAGATTAAGCAATAAAAGGTAATGATTAGAATTTTTAAAATAAGATCAATAACTAAAAAGCATTCTGAAATGCAGTAATAAAAAATATAAATTCCAGAAGAGGAGCAATCTATCAAGACTAACCACTTAAATAATAGTACTTCAAACTGAATGTCTGAAGGCCACATGACACTGGTTTCCAAACATAAACCAAATCTCTTGTTATTTGCACTCAGAAAGCACATAAATTAATTTCATGCTCTGTATAAAGATTTTCCAGTATTAAAAATGTAAACATGGCCCTGACCGGTTTGGCTCAGTGGATGGAGCGTCGGCCTGTGGACTCAAGGGTCCCAGGTTCGATTCCAGTCAAGGGCATTTACGTTGGTTTCGAGCACGTCCCCAGTGGGGAAGGAGGCAGCTGATTGATATTTCTCTCTCATCGATGTTTCTAACTCTCTATCCTTCTCCCTTCCTCTCTGTAAAAAATCAATAAAATATATTTTTAAAAAATGTAAACATGGCTCAGTGGTTAAGCGTCGGCCTATGAACCAGGAGGTCATGGTTCAATTCCCAGTCAGGGCACATTCCCGGGTTATGGGCTTCCCAGTGTGGGGCATGCAGGAGGCAGCCCATCAATGATTATCTCTCACTATTGATATTAACGTTGCTCTCTCTCTCCCTCTCCCTTCCTTTCTAAAATCAATATATATGTGTGTGTGTATATACATATATATATATACACACACATATATATACATATACACACATATACATACATATATATATAAAAGTGTAAACAGATGCCAATCTTAATGAAAAGAAAGTTTCTCCATAACTTTATATGTTTGTATTTGTGCTTACTTTAAAACTTAATCCTACAGAGAAGAAAATAGTATGTTTCTGATGAAATGTAGATTGAATCAAAGTAGTGTGTGTGTGTGTTTGAAAAAAGGGGTTTGATAGATATATAACAGGATTTTTATTATACAGGGTGGGGCAAAAGTAGGTCTATAATAGTTTGTATGGGAAATACAATAATTAGTAAATAGTAATACAAGAATAAACTCTTTCACATATTCACAACTGTAAACCTACTTTTGCTCCCACCCTGTATGTCTAATCAAGGAAATAAGTCCAGGAAACCTGCACTTTCTTTGTTTTGAAAAATTTTATGCTTCTGTAGTTGATTGCAAAATGAATGAAATATTGTGGCACAAGAACTAATGAGTCATGCAGGAAATGCTTGGGCTAATACAGTACATTCAAACAGCAAGCACTGAAATGTCCAAATAATATACTACATTTTTCCTTCAGATCAAAGGTTCTTGAGATTGAAAACAAAAAAGCAGAGCGAATTTTATCAACTGCATTTTTCACTTATCCAGTTTAGCATATGAACTGAGATTGCATCTCAATCCCTCAACTCCCAGCATGCCTTCAAAAGACAGATTCTAAGTAAAGATGAAATTCATGCAAACCTGCTCTGTGATTAGTGTCCTGCCATCATCAACCAGTACAAGTGATATAGTCTCTCCAGCAGATCAGATACCCTGAGAAGTCAAAGTACTTTCAAATGTTTTCAGAAACCTTAAGTGAGGAAACACTGAGCATCTTTCTAAATACTGTATTAGTTGACTCAACAACAAAAAGCCCACGAAAACAACGTTCGTTGAAGAACTAGCTAAATAAATGAAGTAGAAAGCTCTCGATAGGCAAAGAACAGCAACACACGCTCCAGTTGTCGGGAAACTGGAGCCGTGTCAAATTTTCAAATGATTCCTGACCATGTCTGTACTGAAAAGTTCCTATCCTCGATCCAGACCGAGCCCTGTGTTATATGCAGCATCTTCGTCCTACGTGGATTCTGCCAATGACTAATAAGGAAAGATGCGCTGCAACCCGAAACTGGAAAGAGACCCATCTTACTGATGTGCTCGGAGGAGTCTGTGCCAAAGAAATGATTCCGCTTCATCAATAAACCCACAGAACAAATTAATTAGAAAATGCCGTCACTGCACCGACTCCGGCTCGGCAAAGCGTTGTTGTCAAAGGAGGGAAAGATGCTAGACCCGTTATTCAATGTGTCAGAACCTCAGTTTACGTAATCCCACGGCACTGGACACCCTGCATAACGACGGTGGCGACTTTTCAGCATTTTCCGCAGCTCCCGTTCCTTCTGGTTACACGAATGAAGAAGAAACCTTCCGGCTTCCTTAGGAAGACGCCAAGCTCCGAGCCAGCACTTGTTTGATGAGTTCCCTTTGTCCCTGCCTGAGACCTGCACTCCCCCGGGCATCAGAGCAACCCCGGTCCCGGGAGCCTGTGTCCCCTTTTCTCTCTCACCCCCTTAGCTCCACAGCGGACCCTCCTACAGCCGTCCGTCCACACACAGAACCAGGCACCATCCTGCCAGGCCACCCAGCGCAGGTCTCCCCGCGAATACCTACCAATCCGCCTGGGCCCGGGGCACACACACATTCTCCTGTCATCACAACACGGAGCCGACAACATCCACAACCCGCGCGGAGAGCAGCAGCGGCAGCAGCGGCGGCCCATTGGAAGCAAGGCAGAGATGCTCATTAGAGGAGGCGGCGGCGGGGAGGCGGGAGCGCGGGGGT